TGATTAATGTCGAGTTCTCGTGCCAGTTCCAAACCTGCAATCACAACTTCATACTCTGCCTCATTGTTAGTTATAGAATGGCATTTTATGGCTTGTCGAATGGTTTTACCCGTAGGTGGTACCAAAACACTTCCTAAACCTGCCCCCTTCACATTAGACGAACCATCAGTAAATAAGGTCCAAATTCCTGGATTAGACCCGTTGAACACCTGTAATTCTTTTTCTACTTCTAACTGCATTCCTGGGCTAAAATCAACCAAAAATATCTTCTAACACCTGAGATTTTATTGCGGTTCTGGGCTGATATGTGATGTCATATTCACTTAATTCTATAGCCCATTTGGCTAACCTACCTGATAACTCATGCTTGTGTAATATATTGCGCAATGGATAAGCAGTTACTACGGAAATAGGGTGGCATTGAAAATAAGGCCTTAGTTTTCTAGATGCCATGATTATTGCAAGTGCAAGCTTTTCTAATTGAGGGTACCGCGTCTCCGCATCTAATAACGATTTGCTAACATAATAAATTGAAGATTGTTTACCTTGTTCTTCACAAACTAAGACAACACTCACCGCTACTTCTGACACAGCCAGATAGATGAGCAATCTTTCCCCAACCTTTGGTTTTGCGAGAAATGGGGATTTGACAGGTATGACTTTAAGTTTTTGAGTGCCTGTTGACACTCCTCAGTCCATTCAAACTGATCTTTCTTTTTAAGAGATGAAAAGAATTTAAAATATTTTTCCGATGACTTGGAAATAAATCTCCCCAAGGGTGCAATTCTTCTGTCAGTCTCTGTACTTCCTTTTTACTTGTAAGCATATCAGGAATTTCTTCAATGGCTTTAATCTGCGCGGGATTTACTTCAATACCACGATAAGAAATAAGAAAACCCAAAAACTTACCTGATGAAATGCCGAATGCACATTTCTCGGGATTTAGCTTCATATTGAATTTTCATAAAATTTGAAATGTATCAGACAAGTGCGATATATGATCCCCTGATTGTTGAGATTTAACAAGCATATCATCTATGTAGACCTCCATAGTTTTTCCTAAATGTTCTTGGAACATTTTGGTTACTAATCTTTGATACGTTGCACCAGCATTTTTGAGACCAAAAGGCATTACTTTATAACAGTAAGTCCCCCTTTCTGATATAAATGAAGTTTTTTCTTCATCTAGGGGATCCATTTTGATCTGGTTATACCCTGAATATGCATCTAAAAAGCTTAACAGTTCATGTCCTGCAGTGGCATCAATTAATTGATCTATATGTGGTAACGGAAAAGAATCTTTAGGACAAGCTTTGTTAAGGTCTGTGTAATCAACACAAACTCGCCATTTGCCATTCTTTTTCGGCACTACAACAGTATTAGCTAACCAATTAGGATACTTTACCTCGCGGAAAGACCCAATTTTTAAGAGTTTTTGAACCTCATCTTGAATTACCTGATTCTTGAAAGTTCCCTGCTTTCTCTTCTTTTGTTTGATGGGCGGATACGATGGGTCTTCATTTAACTTGTGAGTCATTACTTCTAGTGGTATTCCTGTTATATCAGAATGGGACCAGGCAAAATAATCCACGTTAGTTTTTAAAAATTTAATCAACTTACCTTTCATATCGTGGCTTAGATTAGCCCTAACGTAGATTTTCCTTTCTGGCCATTGTGTAAATAACTCCACAGCCTCCAGTTCTCAATCATTGTTTAGATATTTTCATTTTCCTCTGGTTCTTGAATGGAATCGGGCTGTAAGTCCACATCTGTTCGCCCTTGTTCAGTTGAGGTTTGTGTTGTGGTATCCTCAACTGGATTCTGTAATTGCTATTTTTCTTCGTTTCTCGTATTTGAATCTGCTACAGAGTTGATGCTCCTGGATATCTGTTGATCCCCATGGATTTGACGTATTACCCATAGTGATGGAAATTTAATAACTTGATGTAAGGTAGACGGAACGGCATCCATCTCGTGGATCCATGGTCTCCCGAGAATTGTATTGTAAGCCATTTCCATTCTACCACCTGAAATTTCGTATCTTTGACAACCCCTTCTGCGAATGTAGTAAGTGTTACCTCCCCTTTTGTCACAACGCTTGAATTGTCGAATCCAAACAAAGTATGCGCCTTTGGTACTAGTTTATCTTCAGCTTGCATCTCGTGTAATACTCTTAGCAAAATAATGTTTACGGAACTACCTGGGTCAATCAAAACTCGTTTCACGTTAGTATCATGTACAAGTAGGGATATTACCAGTGCATCGTTATGCAGAGTTAACACGCCATCCGCATCTGCATCATCAAATGTAATGCTTTCTTCTTCCAAAACATGTCGTACCCGCTTCCCGTAGGTAATTGTGACTTTTGAAACTTTATTGGCTGTTGTGTACGTCACACCATTGATTTCTTCGCCTCCGCTTATAACATTAATGGTCCTTTTTGGAGAAGGAGGTTTAGGGGGCTCCTGCCCGTTCTTCATATATGCTTGCTTACCTTTCTCACTGAATAATTCGGTGAGATACCCTTGCTTTAATAGATGATTAACTTCACCTTGTAGCAATCTGCAATCTGCCGTTTTATGACCATGATCGTTGTGAAATTCGCACCAGTGATCAGGATTGCGCCTGTTAGGATTTGATCTCATTTGTTTTGGCCACCGCACCTTATCACCCATGCTTCTTAAAACGACTACGAGCTCGGAAGTGCTGACATTAAAATTATAACTGCCAAATCTTGCCTTCAAGTTTCTATCATCATCCCGCGTTTCCTGCGAGTTCCCAAACCTTGAAGATGAACCCGTCTCTCTATTCCTCGATCTATGATCATACCTTGAATTGTCCTGCTTTGGTCGTGAATCTTTTCCCGCTGGGCCCATATATGGTTCGTATCTGTTTTTACCGGACCATTTTTCGGTTTCTGCACGTCTCGAACTCACCTTTTCTTATTTTTGAGACTGTGAGATAATATCTTCTTCTATCCTTAGCTTCGTGTCGTATCTTTTGTAAACGTCATTCCAAGTGGTTGCTGGAAATTCACGAAGGCTTTCCTTGAGTCGTCTCGTGGCTTCTGAGCTTTTCTCATTCAAATTACTGGTGAATGCTATAGCTGCCCAGTTATCTGGTACGCATGGTAACGTCATTTTTTCACGTTGGAATCTATCTACGAACTCTCTAAGCAGCTCTGAATCTCCTTGCTTGATTTTGAAAATATCTTCCATTCTTTTATCGACTTTTAGAGCTCCCGAATGTGCTTTGATAAATGATTCTGCAAGCTCAGCAAAAGAATTTATAGAATTTTCGGGTAAGAGAGAATACCATGTCAATGCTCCCTTGGTGAGTGTTTCACCAAGTTTCTTGACCAATACTGATTCGATTTCTTGTTTGGTTAAGTCGTTGCCTTTCACGCCAATTGTGAATGCAGTCACGTGATCTCGTGGATCAGTTGTGCCATCATATTTTGGAATATCAGGCATTTTAAACTTCTTTGGAATAGGTACCGGAGCAGCACTTGGCTTCCATGGTTGTTGTGAGTATTTTGTCCATGTCTATTCCTTTGATAACAGGTGGTACTCCAGGTATTTTCTCTATGCGATCGCTTTGTTCCTTGAGCTGCTTCTGCAGGATTAGAACTAAATTTTGTAAATCAGAATTAACTATGTTACCTGGTTCACCATCACGAGACTCGCTTGGAGTTCCACCAGTGCCCGAATGAACGAGCCCAGAACGTGGGTTTTCCAATGTATTCTGATTCGGAGTTGGTATTGGTGGCGCAACTAGCAACTGGCTAGTAAAAGCACATAGAGCATTACTGACTTGTTGAGCAATTAGATTCTTTAAGGCATCATCGAGCGCTTGTTCGTTCACAACTCCAGCATTTTGAATCGCCTCTACTCCATTTTGATTTGCAACCCCATTGTTTGTTTCAGAGCCATCTGGAGATCCTTCTCGTGATTGATGTTGTGAATCACATGGTGAAGGGGATGGGGTCATGTTACCTGCATTATTTTCTTGTTGTTGAAGATCTTGTTGACTGTTGTTGTTGATATTCAACATAGTAAATTGTTTGATGAAAGAATTGACTTAAGAAAGCAAAAGGATTATCAGTTTTCCGGTAACGGAACCAATTTGTTTAACAAAAAAGTGGAATTAAAGCTTATTTTAGAAGAACTCGGGTTACTGATAATCGAATAGAAATAGGAATAATGAAATAAAAGTTGAATAATAGTATTTCGTGTCCTTACAAATGATCAGTCTTCTCCTTTTTATAGCTATTTCTAGGAGATACGTTTTGCCTTTGTCATAATAAGGCCATTATAGACAATTAAAGGCCTTTAATGCTACGTTATAAATGGTAATCATTGTAATTCAATACAGATTATCTAACGTTCCCAGTAATTAATGCCTATTAAATACTGTAACCGTACCCTCTTTTGTTATCAGGTTCATTCTCTTTAACTTTTGAATGTAAATAGGTACGAGCGTCGAGTCTTTTGAATCTCTGCTCGTGTCTCTGCTCGTGTCTGTTGCAACTCGTGCCTCTTTGCTCATCATTATTCTTTGACCAGTTTACGTGTCATGACATGTCATTTTTCAATCACTTCAATATATATAAACTCAATTTTTCCCAATACACCTATAAATATCGAATCTTGGGTCTGCCTCTGCTTATGTACAACGCATTGCTACAGTAAGGATCAACAGAATTCCATGCTTCTTTTAAGCAACATATATAGTGTCCCCATGAAGCCATTTAGGTTTCTCGTCCTAACTTCACAACCTCTAACGGTAGTCAACAATATCATTTTACGTATGAGACATCCAAATTTGAGAACGGGGACGTCTAAAATAATTCTGCACATTAATATCAAATAACTACAATTCAATTTCAAGTTAATCATAGAAGGTTATATGAAACTTATGTATCGATTTCCTTTTCGACCAGGTCCAATTCATTTCAACATTTCTGCGCAACAATATAAATTGCAAAGATAGACAACCTCTTGAATCAACTTTAAGGGTTCACCTTATAAGATAAAAACAATCAATCCAAGAATCTATAATTATGGGTTCGGATCGTAAAAGCAGCCATTAATATATACTTTGCATTAGCGGGCTGCCAAATTCAAGAGTTCATGAAATCACTTATTGCACATCAAAATATTGAAGGGAAGTGAAAAATTAAAGTAAGTTATACTTTTGACAGAAGAAAATTAAATTTTAATAATTCAATGACCATCAGGCAATGGGAATACGAGTGGTATTAGGCAATCTTCTACCATGAACGAATGAGCTGAAAAGATGCAAAGCTCTAGATGGCTGTGCGTAGGGAACCATATGAGCAGCTCCTCTTACTGTTGCAAATGTGAGTTTATCACCATATTCAACTTGCCATCCTCCTACTTGCCCTTTGTGAAACCATGCTCCATATGATACTGTTGTCGTCATCTTTAAATCATTAGCTAATTCTCGCACCAATGTTCTTGACCCTATTAGTGGTACCACTGAGTCTTGATCTCCACTGTCATATACAATAGCTTAGAATCATGCTAATGACAACAAAAGAGAACTATATTCGAGATTTAAACGAGGCGGATCTAGAATTTTCAATTTTGAGGAGAGATTATTCCTTTTGGTAAATAACTTAACCTTCAACCAATTAAGTGCACCATTCGTCCTTTTTGGAGCATAGGTGCCAATAGTTAATAGTATACCAATTTTAGAAAATATGTACATAAAATATCTAATTTTGAGGAGAGACTATGGGTTGACTTGCCCCGCCCCTGAATCGGTTTCTTATTTTCTCAAATAAATAGTGATGAGCGCTCGATAATTTATAGTATTATATTATATATATTACTAATATTATGGAATATGGATTCATATCCTATGCGACATTATGTGCAGGTGAGGATTTCCTTTGGAAAAGTCAAATCCGCACAGCCCCATTGTCATCCCTAGTAGTCATTGTAATGCTAGGGAAATAGCATGGTTAATTACCTGAATATCCAAAGAGGAACATCATGTTGAATAATATTTTTGAGGGATGGAAGCATATCCGTATCACCATCTGATTGAGAGTAATTCAGCACACTGTCTCATACAAACACCACCAAAAGGAAGATCGTATTAATTATAAACCTGAAACATATGGTATTAATTCTATCTATTTCGGTATAATTATTTGCAACATTAAAGATTTCAAAACAATTAAGATTACATACTCACTGCACATGGTCCATTCGTAAGGTAGATTAGTGCGATTAGCATGAAGAGCTTTCTGAACCTCAGGAAGGTTGAAATAGAAATATCTTTCTGATGTCATGCATACATCTACTCCCATACTCATCTTTGTAACCTATTCTCCAATAAAATAACAAAATCAAATTTTACAAATATCTAAACATATTCACAGAGTTAATTAATTTTACGTATGACCACTGAATTCATTATATAATAGAAAAATTACAATTCTTTTTTGTCACTTTACTGTTACTATTGGATAAAGTTCAGTAATCACACGCGAAACTAATAACCCAACATTCATACAAGTTGAATAGCTTAAGACATTATAATTCTTACTTGTTTGTGTAAACGCAGCTCTTGCTGAACAATAGAAGGATAACAGACATCCAAAATAACGTCGTAGACATTAATATAGTCAGAAATTACTTTATATGCTTCATCAATAGCTTGGTTGCATGAGATTGGCTCATTATGAGGAACTGGGAATTCATAATCATCAAAATTGCAGTGTTCTTTGATTCTCAAATATAATTCATCTGATATCATTCCATGTGACCAGTAATATTCGTACACTGCTGGAACATCTCTGTCAAGTCTCAGAAGTGGATTTCCAATCTGTAGAAACACCAGAAATTGAAAAAGGAAAATTTACTTCTAATTTAGGAGGGCTGATTTTAATATGTAGAGGAAAAATTAAAGGAAATAGCTAGAGTATATGTTTTTGAGTGTTCTTACAGCTACTCCCTTTAGGTTAAACTTAAAATCCTTGGACTGCTTGTTGTAGTCTAGTATGACATTTGCCAACTGTGGTATATAATGTCCTATCATCAGAATAAATAAGGCATATATAGTAAGCTAATCTTTGATAGAACATAAGTATATTTACACATGTTCAACAAAAAATAAGAATAGATATCTCGTACCTGCATAACTTTCACCTGTAAGGAACAAAGGTTTAGATTTTAATTCTGAAAACTTTTCGTACCATCTGAGCATGAAAGTGAGCATATCCTTAGCTGAAAACAACAACAACAACAACAAAATGAGAACATTAATTTTCTTTTCCGTTAACCATTTTTTCACCAAATTAAAGGAGAAAATGTAAGAGGTCGAAGTGATATATATACCAGTAGAGTCATCTCCGCAAGTATAATCACTAGATGTGTTTGAATAAGACCATCCAACACCAGCAGGAGATTCAATAAATAGAAGATTTGATGCTGTATATATCAAAACAAAGAAATATTTCAGAAATTGAAATGGTAAGAATCAAATATTGACATATTCTTTTTTTGGGATTTTATAGTATAAATATTAAGGTAGTGTAATATTATACCTTTATTCCAAGATTTAGTATTTCTTCTAAGACCACGGCCATCACCTCTAGGAAAGAAGGGTCCTAGTTCTGTAAAGGCACCTCCTCCAATTGACGAACATCCTGGACCTAAAAATAATAAAGTTATTAAAGACTAAGACGAAATTAAGAAATAACCCTTCATATACGAAATTATTAGATGATCCCTTTTAAAAGCTTCTAATTCAAATGTTGAGTAATGATATCGATTGCTTCATTGTATGAGAGTCATCATTGCTACCAATACTAGTGAATTTAATTTTAGAATAATTTGACAAAATAAAATACACCAAGCACGGTGTAGTTTGATTAGCTTATGAGGCCATTTAATTTGCGTATAATTAACATATATATATATATATATATATATATATA